ATACTATATTATATAAATAAATGTATATTCTAAAATATTCTTATATATTTATGTATCAATTATAAATACTTAATAAGAAAAAAATATATAAATTATAAAGTACAAGACGTATAACAAATACATAATAATTAAAAATATATTAGCAATATATAAAATGCGCCAAAAATCTGTAAGTACAATAACATACAGTCTCGTAAACAATATAATTTTCAAAAAAATTTTAAACAAACGCTGTAATGCTTTCGAAGAGATTATATGATATTGATTCGTTTACAGATAGTTATTATCGAGATTTTTTATGGATGCCGTTTTTTAATTCAAATTTTTTAAATCAAATTTTTGTTATCTAATATATATAATTCCTCTAATTATTCTGAATATGAAAGTATTACGGTTATAAATATTAAAAGATTAATAGTTTACAAGATATTTTATTATATATTATATGTCAGAATATGTCAAAATAGTATAAAATAAATAAAAGTATTAAATATCTTGTAAACAATTAACTTTTTAACATTTGTATCTTAATATTTTTATATCCAGAATAAAGGAAGAAAAATTATATTGCGTAATAAAAAAGATATAATTTCATTTAAAAAAATGGCGACCATAAAAAAATCTCCACTATATCTGTAAATGAATCAATGTCGTTATATGGTGCTCCCAAAATCTTACAACTTTTGTCTAGATTTTTTTTTTAAATTACATTGCTTATGATTGTATCCAGACTCTTAGTGCACATTGCATAAACATATTTAAAGACATTAGACTAGCATTGTAATTTTCTTACAGCTGAATAATGTTGAAACGATAAAGCCTTTAATAAACCCGGAACAGTTATAATTACAGGTCGCTGACAGCGGAGCAATGTGTACAACATAATCTTTTGTGAATCAGTTCCGTGTTCGTACCATAACGAATCGTATGCAGCATCACCAATATCAGAACTCTAAAATATTCTTGAAATGAATTTTAAATGTATCAAAATATTATATCTTATTAGTATCTTATTTTATTGATTCACTTTATTATCAAAACTTACTGCGGCCATTAAATAATCAGCTGGCCATGCGGACAGAAATACTTTTCCCAGTGATGACATACATCCGATAACGAATTCTACTTTTACGGATAGCGGTAGTCGCTAATATTTAAAAAAAATGTACAATCAATATTTTACGAAAGACATTGTTACATCATTATATGTGCGTAGCTGTAAATTAGAGTTAATACACATACATATTAAAATTATTTTTTATTTAAAGTTTGTTTAAACGCATATTTTATTATTTAAATTAGAGATATTATATTATATTACATTATATTATATTATATACAAACACTGAGTACAGTAACACCACCAAATACTAATGTACATGTACTAAATCCCAGAGATGATAACACTATATATGAAATGGATAAGCTCATATTTTCAGAAAATCTGTAACAATATGTTATATATACATAACATGACAGTTATCTTTTATTTTCATTGTTTAAATCTCGTTCTTTAATTTATATTTTATCGAGTCTCTTTTCCGGCAGTTTATTATGCTACAACTTATTTGTGTATGTGTGAGTAGGATATGTAAATGCATATGGATGTTCGCCATATTTTAAGCTCGGGTCCGTGCCCAGCAAACACAATATTACATGTAACGTATATGTTAGTTGTAATTTCTTACTCAACAATATAACTGTTATATAACGCATGTGTTATATAACAGTTACATTGTAACATATATATGTTATATATAACATTGTGTTTGCTGGATGGGTCCGCTAAATCCAAATGATTGTGTAGATCAGTTACCTCGGACAATATAGTAATTCTGTAACGAATTAAATTTTCAACCAATAATTGTAAATCATATATTTATAGTTCTTTTATATAAATAAAAGCGTAATTTAAAAATAAAGAAAAAGGACACTATATATACTCAAATAGCAAAATGCCAGCAGTATATCTGTTTGGCACTGTGCCAACAGATCCGATCATGACTTCGCAGCAGATTTCAAGCTGTTGCTTCCTAATTAAGCTTAGTTTTTTGCGGCACACCTTCTCATCATAGAATAACGACAAAAATGCGATAAAAATCGAGCATTACTTGCTGTCTCATTGTGGCAGCAGATATGTAGCAGATATCGTGCAAAGTTTGCCATATCAGATACTGGCAGCAAAAATGCGGCAGAAATCGAGTACAATGTGCCGTCACGATGTAACGACAAAATTGCGGTAAGTATATGGCGTGATCTGTGCTGTTACGTCGTGGCGGAAAATTATAACAGAAATCAAATAGAGCCTGCTGGCTCTATTAATCTGTCAACAAATCGGCAACAGAAATCGTACAAAACTCTGCGTCTATCACAATAATTAGAAAACTACCGCTAGGTTACGTCCGTTTCTCACATGCAAAATCTATCCAACTTTCTATATAAGCAAAATCATAATCAACATTTAAACATGCATTTATTATTTACGTATTTTTATGTATACGCTTGATGCAAGAATAAGATGTCTAATTGTCCAACAAAGACGTTAGTTAAAACACAAAGTGTAGTACCTGGGAAATACAGTACATTATGTACGATGTTTGATACATTATTTGATACGTTATAAAAGAATCAAAAGAATCATATCTTTAAAAAGCTTTTTATAACTTATTTGTGTTGTAAAGAATATATTAATTTCATCATTAGTAAAATAATTAAAAATTATTCTTCTAAAATAAGAGATAGAAAAAATAATAGAGACATTTTTGAAAATTTTTTTAGTAATAACAATTTAAATATTTACGAAACAGAATTTGCTCGATTTCTGTTGTTAATTTGCCAACAAGTTATGTTAGCAGGCCCTATTTGATTTCTGCTCCGTTTCTGCCGACACAGCTGATAAAGCAGATCGCGCCATATACCTGCCGCAATTTTGCCGTCACGATGTGATGGCACACTATATTCTGTTTCTGCTGCGTTTCTGCTGCCAATATCTGACGTTACAGATCGTGTTGCATTCTTGCCGCATTTTTGTTGTCACAATGTGAAAAAATAAATATGCCAGATATTTGCTACATTTTTGCGACATGTCTTGACGGCACATCACGTTAAATTTTGGATTATTTTCTGTTGAATATTGTGACAACACAAAATGCTTGAATTTTGATGTATTTATGACGACAAGCTTTGTTCAATTTTTACAGCAATTTTTGCAACATGTTATGCAGAGCTTGCTCGATGCGTTGCATTTTTGTTGGCAGTATTTGTTACAGCGGCCCATACTGGATTGGTCGATTTTTGCCGACATAACGTGTAGCATAACTTCGCAATTTGTGCTTTTGGCACGTTTTGCTATCTGGGTAGTGTACGTTTCGGGCTACATGAAGCTTTTTTTAGCAAAGATTATAATTACATAGAAATGTAATAATAAAAGTCCAGTCCATATTAATCCTTAACGCGCCGTAATACCGCTGTAGTTAAAAATGAATTTACGAGTTTACGAGATATTTTATACTTTACATCAAATTCAAGCCTCATAACTTAGAAAGTATTTACTAAACAAATACTTTGTACAGTATTTTAAAAAGCTTTGAGATTAGCTACAAGAATATGTAATAAAAAATGAGGGTTTTCATGTAAGAAAACAAGATTGACTTTCATATGGCATTGGCCATTGGCACGTACATCCAACCATTATCTTATGTTCACTTTGAAGTTATAAAACTTTTATACGAAACATTCTAAAATCTCATGATTTCCAGAAATTGTCTGTTTTAATTAAAATGAGACCCTGTATACTTGTACTAATTGCTTAAGCTATGGTGAAAATTGAATAATATTGATAGAAATTTTGTCAACATACCTCAAAAGTTCCTGATGTTCTCTAATACAACTTTGCCATTCACAATATTTTGATGCCATTCGAAATTTGTTAGACAAAATTTCAAATCGTGCCGATGTAAACCATAATAAAAGAGCAACAAAAACAGTAGAGCATACTTGACAGTAAGATTGATATATTCCGAATGAATGGTGAAGATAAACGATCGCGTGCAAAGGTTGTTGCTCAACATGAAATGGATATTTTATTACAATTGGAAATGAATCCTTAAACATAGGTCCCAACGTTGCAGTAGCTAACGCTGCGGTTATCACGCCTAATATTATCGCGTAAAACTTTATGTGCTTATCAATGAATTTTTGAAATATGTCTCTTTCTTCTAGTTTCGAATGCCGATAATAATCTTCCATCTGAAAAATTACTTCCTGTGCAATAAAAAATGGTACTTAATTTAAATTCACACATCTCGTTATATATATATATTTAAATTTTATATAAGAATAATATATTTTTATCAAAATAATTAATAAAACGAAATAGGGCTATAGTGGGAATAGCGGTAAACAATGCGCAATTAAATTAAATTAAATTCTTCATTTATTCTTGACAATCCAAACGTTTCGGTTTTCATGATTGAGCCATCTTCATCTTTGGTACGACAAATATTGAAAGGCCGAACTCTACCATGGCAAAGCAAACTGTTTGTCGCCCACTTCGGTTACCAAGTCGCGTGAGGGAAACAATTTAATCGTATCCTTAAATAACGACAAAAAAAACTGCATAAAGATCTAAGATTTTTGTATATTTGGATTAAGTATTTGCTGTATTACTTATCACAACAGAGTTGAGCCGTACATAACATGTGATTAAATTTTAAAGAGTTGTATAGAGTTAAAAATATAAAATAGAAATTAATAAATTAAGATTAAAACACAAATTAAAAAACAGTCAAGTAATGAGATAAAAGCATATGTAAGATAAAACAAAATAGTACAAGATCGCAAAACATTTATAATTTGTTGAGAGCCGAAACATAGACATGATATAGAAACTCCGTGTCCGTTTGTAAATTTATTGTGTTATTTTCGTGTAGTTTAATGAACAGCATCTCGGAAATCAATCTTTTTCCATAGTCACGTTCGACATCTAAAATTCTAACTTTGTTCCAGGAAAAGTCGTGATTGTGTTCTAATCTATGATCTACGAATAATCATTGATCTTTATTCCTACGAATATGACCACGATGCTCATTTAATCTTATTTTAAGTTGCCTCTTAGTTTGTCCTACATAACATTTATCGCAATTGTTGCATTCTATCCTATAGACCACATCTCTTGTTGTGTCTGGTGGGATTCTATTTTTATGAACGCGTATAAATCTATTCAATTTATTAATACTAAAGAAAGCTAGTTTAGCATCGTTGAATTTATCGTTTTGAATTTATCAATCAATGGGTTAAAAGGTATTGTGAACCATTTGGTCCTTTTGTCATCGTCCACCGATCATCATTTTCATTTCTAAATATAGAAATCTGTTTGTGTGTAATTATGTTTATAAAGTTGGAATTTAAGTCTACGAGAAATGCAATCGAGAATGAAATTAGGGAGATAATCGTTATTCAGAAGGATAGAGAAAATCAATTCAAGATTTTTCTGATGGTATTGGGGATGTGTGTGGTTGGGGATGGTATGTGGGATGTGATAATGAAAGGACTCTATCCACCAACTCGTATACAATCCCTCTTTTTTTGAGATAAAGGATGTTGCGATAAAAAATTTAAAAATCTCCCTGAGAAAGTTGATTTATGATACCAATCAAAATGGACAACACCGCTAACAATTTTCATGGTAAGTCCAAGAAGTTCAACTCCCGACTGCCTATCTCAGCTCTGAATTGCAGTCTAGGATGGAGTTGAAGATCCGAAGTGTTTCATTAACCATATTGGGTGGGATAGCCAATGCAACATCATCCATGTATCGATAATAAAATGATAGGATTAATCCCAATTTCTCGATTGCTCTCTCTTCCAAATCTTTCATTACAAGTGTTCTGATCTGCTATGATCGGGGACAATGGAGAATCGGTAATCTGAAAGTTTGCCTATAAATTTGTTTATCAAAAATAAAATAAGTAGAATGCAATACAAAAGAGATAGCTTTCAAAAATTCATCCTTGGAGATGTTACAATTTCATGCTATATCATCCCAGCGTTTGAAGATGCTGTCCATGACTAAATTTTTTATCCCATTACTTGACTGTCTTTTGACTTGTGTGTTTTAATCTTAATTTATTAATTTTTATTTTATATTTTTAATTCTATACAATTCTTTAAAATTTAATCACATATTATGTACGGCTCAACTCTGTTGTAGGTTGTAAGTAATACAGCAAATACTTAATATACAAAGATTATAGATCTTTATGCAGTTTTTTTTGTCGTCATTTAGGGATTAAATTGTTTCTCTCGCGCGACTTGGTAACCAAAGTGGGCGACAAACAGTTTGCTCTGCCACACACAATGGTAGAGTTCGGCCTTTCAATATTCATCGTTGTACCATTGAAGATGGCTCAATCATAAGAGCCGAACGTTTGGATTGTCAGGAATAAATGAAAAATTTAATTTAATTTAATTGCACATCGCGCTTACCGCGCTATTCCCACAGTCCCATTTCATTTTCGAATTATTAATTATTAATATTTGGGGAATCATGTTACTTTAACTATTTATTAAATATTTTTATCAATTTAGTAATGTATCAACAAATAGTGTATGCGTAAAACCATTCACTTATCCTCTTACTTGCAGACGATCATGTTGCAAAGTGTATAGAAATATCTGTACTGGAACTTCTAATATTACGACCATTAAGCAACTTGATTGCATAAACATACGAACATCATCAATACGATAAATAAGCGTATACATTATTTCGATAACTAATAATATCGCATGCAATGCGGAGATTAGACGGAATATTTTGTCGCAAACAATCTGACACTTTGTCGCGTCCCGCGATACTGGCCAACAACAGGCAAACATTAACTCTATTTTCAGAAATGCGATAACTTTCTCTAGCGTAACCCTCTTCATGCTAATTGAGATTGTGTTCTTCGATTTCTAAGCAATCATATACGTATCATAGATATTCCAACCGGAAGTATCGCCCTGTAGTGTTCTTATAATATATTTACGAAGAAGCTCGTACAATAGGTAAAGAAGATATGAGATAACATGAAGATCTCGTAAGTAAGTTCGTATTAATACTCTCTTATCTACATTCGTAGCAAATATGAAATATCTCATGGCATATTATGGCATTTAAATAATTATACCTCTTACTGAAAATTACTTCCTCTTATTTACCTCTCCTTCGACCTTATGCATAAGCGAATGTATTAATAAATGATGAGAGAATTACAGGCATATCGAGTTATAGTGTTTCAATACAGTGTTTCAATGCTTTCTGTTTCACATTAGTATGGGATGTGTTCAATGCAATCTGTTTCTTGTGGAAATGCTATACCGTAAATAGAAATGAAAGGACATTATAGGAAGTTCTATTAAATATAATTGTGCTTTATTTTCGCCAAATTTATTAAATAATTTTTAGATGTAACCTTAACTTTACTTTATTTGGAGTAAGAGACATAAGATATAACGCATATTTTCTTACAAAGTATAACGATCTCTTATATAAATTAGAATTCGACTAGTGATTCGACTAGTATTCGATATATCGTGATGTTTCCGAGAAAAATTAGTTGTAAGAGATAAAAATCAACTTTCAAAACAAAATCAATATTATTTCATATCACTTTTAATCGATAATATTATGTTAATTATAAACTGATCTATCGAGATCATGTGTTTAGGAGAAACAGTAAAGCTTAGCTGCTTCAAACAAATCCAAAATCATCTTGTTTTTTTTACACAATTTTTTTTACAAGCAAAGTTATTTGGTACTTGATTAAGTAGCATTTGTTTTAATCAGTGATCTTGATAAAAAAATAAAAATAACATCTCGCAAATTAATAGAGAGAAATTATCACTTGTGCACTCATTGGAAGCTCTATAATCTTATTAGCTTTCCAAGATTATTTTCCTACGATTTTTTTATTACATACTATTGGTGATTATATTTCTATTAGATATTATTGATGATTATATCAATCTCGATCAATGCAGTGATCAGTCAGTGACATATATCATTCGTGCGTGACAATCGTATTTTGTACGGGCTTGCAATAGATAATCGAATTCGTTTCTTCAACTAAATTCTTTATTACTACAGAATTTGCTCAGTTCGCTTACTTGCTCTCGACTGCCTGGTCCTTTGTCGCACGCTCTATTTATAAAAGTATCAAGTATTGTCCTACCTAATAAGTAAACGATACGTTTTCGCTTGTTTTCTTATTTGTTCTCTTATTTGTGATCTCGCTCGCAGATATATCGATTAGCAATACATGTCGAGTTCGCTCATAATTCGGAGCAACAGTTACAAATTAAATTTATTATTTAGTCACCAACATATTTCAAAACACGTGTATATTCTTTTAATACTTTATCAATTTTCAAGATTCTTGATTTTCACGATTTAAAATATCAAATTCTTGGAATTGCAATTCAAAATTCTTGAAATATTCCTGGAATTTTAAATAATATATCCCTAAAATAATATCTCCTTGTCAATTATATTTGCCTGATACTTTGTCGATTTTCGTAATTCAATATTATTGTAAAAAATTTTAGATGTCCTCTCAATCTTTCTGTGCGCGTCGCGGCTACTTGCGAGCCAATTGGTTAGTTTTAAATAAGCGATCGTAGTTGGCTGAAGCAAAGGGGAAGCAAGAGCGCATTACCGGCGAAAGAAAAAAAAGAGAAGAGTTGTTAAAAGGCTCATGAAAGTGTAGGATAACGATCCTTGCTCTTGTCGGCAGTATGGTTTTGCTGTGGCGTGGACAGAAAACGTTGTTCCGAAATATTATTTTGCCTTGGAAAAAGAAATATGTTGGCTGACAAGTTAGATCTATATTATTTCATTCTATTAGCCTGCTCTATTCTCTCTAAGCGAGAGATCCGCCATTTTTCCGGCATTAATAGCGAATTTGGAACTAGAATTATCAAAGAAATCACATCGGCCTTATAATATATCAAATTCTTGAAATCTTTCCAATTCCTTCAATTCTTGAAATTTTTTGAAAATTCGTAAAATTTTAAATAGTACAATCTCCTTATAGAAAATATATCTTTATTTTAAAGAACAAAATGTAATTGTAAATTACAAAGCATATTTTTCTCTTAAATAATATATTTTACATATCAATAAATTTATCTCATTTTGTTCGGTAAAAGTATCAAGATAATGTAGTCGTAAAATAAACATTTTAAAATAATTTTTATTAAATATCAAAATATATCAAAATAAAGAATAAAATATAATAACTTCTAAGTTAACGTTAAGAATAAAGTAATTTCTAAATATAATAACGATATCTTGCAGTGAATTTAAAACTACAATAATTTCTATATTCAAATAACAATGTATTCAAAAATATGAAGTCTGTTTAATAAGTGGATGGTCTGTTTAATAAATTAATCCTTCCTTTCGTTCCTCTGCAAATCTGATAATAAAAACCCATATATATATATATATATATATATATATATATCATATAAAAAGCTCTCAATAAATTTTAAAAAAGATTTCGAAAGCTTTGTATCGCTATCTTTAAATTCCGAAAAAATAGTTTCTAACACTTTATGCGAATTATCCTTTATGTATATATAATATACATATGTATAAAATATGTATAATATATAAAACTTAAAATAAATTAATTGATGCTTTTATTTAAATTTGCTATATAATATAATGAAAAATTCTTTATTTATTGTAATATAATTATTTAATTTTTAAAATTAAATATTTTCATTATTGATACTAAAATAAACATTATTAATTTTGCAAATTATTTATTTCTTAATTACTTTTTCCTACATTCCCCCCATTTCCTGCATTCCAGCAAAAATTTCTATATATAATTAAATACATATATCCAAATAGCACAAGGATGTACCTGAAAATCCAAAGCACATTTAGAATGGACACATCTACATTGGAGACATTAGATATTCTAGTTTAATCCAAGAATATTCTTAAAATGTTCTGAGAAAAAAAAAGAATCAACAAATACTAAGAAACATCCTAAGATAATTCCTATTATCTTAAGAACTTCCATAGGAAGAAATAAGAACATTTTTGTAAATTTTTAGGAAAAATTCTGTAAGTAATCCACATAGCACATAGCCAAGGTATATCGCCTAAACATTGTCCATATGATGTCGCATAGAAATCGTGACGTTTATGCGATGTCCATCGGGTATTCCGTGTGTGGTTGACAAAAATTACCACTTTTATTGCTTTTAATTTAAAAATAATATAAAATAAATTATCTATTTAATAGAAAATTGAAAGTGCCCAATTCTATTTCTTATGTTATCAGTTTAAGTATATGTTTTACACTGACATATATATTAAATTACGCAAGATGTTTTGACATTAAATTAGAGATTATTAGATTATTCTTATAATTAATGTTATATTTATATTTAGTAATAATTGTATTTATATGTATATACACGGCATAATTAATAAATATAATTATATATAGAATTGTATATACAGGATGTCCCAAAACTCCCGCATTTGGAGTACACTATGTGATTCTTTATGCTAAAAGAAACAACTTTTTTCTTTAGTAAAAATTGCGTGCGACGAGTTTTTTACAGTAAGTTAAATTAAAAAGTGACGAATGAGCGCGCATATATGCGTAGCGGTCAGGGCCGGCGTATGTATTCATCCTTTACGTAACGATTTATAAAAAAAATTGTCTGATTTCGTAGCATTATCTGAAAATAAAAATAAATGTAAATTATATGATGTATGAACTGAGCATTCTACTATTTTAATTATTTTTTTATTGTCGTATGTGCAATTGCATATGACAAAAATATAAAAAAATACTAAATTTAATGAATACTTATTAATTACGTGAGTACGTAATCACGAAAAGTCAAAAAATTGATTTTTTATAATAGTGTCTAAATAATTCATTAAATTCAGTATATTTTTTTATTGTTATATGCAATTGTGCAGTAATTAAAATAATAGAATGCTCAGTTCATACACCATATTATTTACATTTATTTTTATTTCGAGATAATACTACGAAATCAGACAATTTTTTATTAAATCGTTAAAGGACATGAAAACAATACTTATTTTGTTAACTTTTATCATATTTTAAATAGTACAATACGTGAAGTCGTCAAAGATTAAGTATCAGACCGCGCCTGAGGAACCTCCCAGCGGCCAGCCCTGACCGTTACGCACATATGCGCGCTCATTCGTCACTTTTAATCTGATCCACTGTAAAAACTACTCGTCGCACGCAATTTTGCTGAAGGAAAAAGTTGTTTCTTTTAGCATAAAGAATCACCTAGTGAATCATGTGTACTCCAAATGCGGGAATTTTGGGACACCCTGTATATAGAAAATTTTTTACCAAAATTATGCTATTCGATTTATAATATTTATATTATTATATAATATAATTATTTATATTATTTATATAAAAAATAGTTTGTGTTGATACAAAATATGTAAACTATTCATACAGACTCATAATTTATGATATCTTTCTTTATGACACAATTTTGACTATGTATATGACTATGTATATTTGACTATGTATATTAATCTAATATATAATATAGGACTAGTATCGATAAGTAATCATTGACTATCATCAATAATATATAATAATTTATAAGTTATTTTTATTATAAATTTCTTAATATCATAAATTAATATCATAATATATATCTTAATATCATAATATATATCTTAATATCATAAATTATAATTATAAAGTTATAAGTCAAAAAATTGAGTAACAAAAAAATTAAATATAATTAACAAATAAAGAATTTAAGCATATTTTCTTTTATTTGTCCGAATTACACTAAATAATGTCAACTAAGTAATGTATCAGTAATTACCAACAATAGATAACATCAGTTGGTTGATAAATTGCCATTTAATTTAATTAATAATATAAGATATACTATTATTTATCTTTTTCATTTAAAAAAATACAAAATAAATTTCACACAAAAAAATAAAAATTATTTAAAAAAACTAAAACTGAAAACTTATGATCTTGAAATTAACACTGAAACTGTAACTATAATTAAAACTATGTCTTCTAGATGGCACGCAAATTTGTTTATGGTTACTTTGGAAACATGCTAGCTGCTGGAAAATGCACAAGTCAAAACGAGTCATTCCCACGTTTTCTGCTGGTATTAGTATTATTGAAGTCAAAGAGAATAAATCTTGAGAATAGACATGGACAAGCTATCGAAACCACAAATAATCTGTCACATTGAGAAATCAGTTGACTATTCACTGTTTGATGCAAAATGGATACCATGCAGTGCAAAGTTTGTGGTTATGGGCTCCCGACCTCGGGGTACCGGCATCATACAGATTTACGAAATATCTAGTGGAGAATTAAAACTCATCAAGGATATAGAGAGGTCCAATCAGATGAAATGTGGAACGTTCAAGGCTTCCAGTCTTCGTGATAGATATTTAGCTACTGGTGATTTCAAGGTTTCTTTCATTCTAACAGATATTTATTAAATCCAATATTCATGACCTGTGTATTATTCAACTGGTTCACGTGTCACGAAAGTTAACTTTACAGGGTAAACTGAATATTTACAATTTAGAGGATCCTTCGATACCAGTTTATTCTGCTAATGCTCATACGCAAATTATAAATGCCATTGATGGAGTAGCAGGTGCTAGTATAGGATGTGGAGCACCAGAATTAGTAACTGGATCCAGAGATGGAAGTATAAAAGTATGGGATCCTAGACAAAAGGGTCGTCCAGTCGCTATTATGGAACCAAAGGAAGGGGAAAGTCGACGGGACTGTTGGTCAGTTGGATTTGGTAATTCGTACAATTCCGAAGAAAGAGTAGTAGTCGCAGGATATGATAACGGAGATGTCAAAATGTTCGACTTAAGAGCTATGTCGCTAAGGTGGGAAAGTAATTTGAAAAATGGAGTTTGCAGTCTTGAATTCGATAGGAAAGACATTCCTATGAATAAGCTGGTTGCTACTACACTAGAATCAAAATTTTATCTTTTTGATTTGAAGACTCAGCATCCTGAAAAAGGTTTTGCATATCTCGTTGAAAAGGTATCTTGAAAAAAGTTAATATCTGCTTTTCCACTTTTTTATAAATATATATATATATATAAACCTACTACATATTTTAGGCTCACAAATCGACGATATGGCTGGTCAGGCATTTACCGCAAAACCGTGAATTATTCGCGACATGTGGCGGTGGAGGAACGATCTGTCTTTGGAAATAGTAAATATATATTCTATTTGTTTTATGAGAACAATATTTAATTACATTTTGAATCAAAATATTTGAAACTAATTAATTATTTATAATCCTTTTTAGTAATTATCCAGAGAAGAGGAAAACTACAGACGTCGACGGGATCGAGCAAGGAGTTGTAGGGAATGTCAATTTGTTGCAGAACTGTACACTTTCGTCGCAACCTATTAGCTCTTTGGATTGGAGCCCGGATAAGCAAGGACTTGCTGTTTGCACGTCGTTTGATCAATGCTTACGCGTCATCATCACTACGAAACTGAATACGTATTGATTAAACAAGACAAACCGATTGTTAATGTAAATAAAGCTGTAATGTAGCGAGACAAACTCACTTTACAATTCCATTTTATATGCTTAAGATAGTCATTAATAAAAGAAATTTTATTTACATTTATATGTGCAATTTAAATAATATTATAAATAATAATATAATTATATAATTTTAACAATTATAAAAAAATAATCGAATGAGTTCAAATTGAGAGGTAAGAAAATGCATGATCAAATTTGTTTATAAGAAATGGCATCTCGATCGAGATAGAGATTTTTCGCGGACACTAGACGCATTATGCAACGGCCGACAGACGTAAGCGAATTATATGTCATTGGGCCAATCTATTTAGAATCGGGCCCTTATTAAGCATCAGCCATCTTACCCACAGTCGTAAATGTTACGCAATATCGCACACCACGTCCGCCATTTCTGAAGGCGCGTTCGTCCCACGCATGTCGCTTGTACCTCCGTTGCGTCGCTCTCGCGCGAGAGCGAAGCAACCGCATATGCAAGGTCAGAAGTACCTCGACTTTAATTACATAAATTAACCGTCGCCAAGTCAATCTCTCGCCCGTTACAGCGAGCGTTACTGAATCCTCGCTCATTTCATTTAACGTCCAAAACAGAATCTATCTATTTCATCCGTCAATCAACATAAATTAGAAATTTAAACAAAAAAATTTAAATTAAAACAATCGCACGTTTCTTATATATACTGTCCACTTTAACATTTATATATTCTTACTTAATCTTTTTCTTTCCATGTTTTGAAAAACTAATTTTTTTCTCACTTAAGATGTTATACTTTTCTTCTTATTCTTTTATTATAATAAAATACTCATTATCAACTACTCATTATCATTATATTTTTCAGGCGATGTTCTTTCGAGGAATTTTCTATTTTAATTATTAGACACATGTGCTTAACAATAATAATAAGACGTCGTTTATTTGACATATGAAACGTATAGATCAAAAATAAAATAAGAGATATCTCGGAAGCGTACTAATATCGGAATATAGATTTATTAATTATACATATAGCGAAATATATGTACATTTACAAGAACGTGACTATGTGCACGTCGACAAGAAATGTGCAATACCCCGATTCCTATTTTTGTTTCTTGATGGCGCATTCAGTGATGCACTCCGTAGCAATTTGGTCAACATCCAAGATCTATATCACTCCTATTACTATGTAATCATCGTTACGATTAAATCTTAAATGAAAAAAAAAAATCAGTTTTTTGAAATTGTTTTTCTCGATAAATACTACGTGCCCAAATGTTCTTATTTTCATAAAAAAATTTTTATTTCTTTAAGTATCTTTTAAACTTAAAATTAACAATTGTTAACAGTTTTCCTAATGGAACACAGTCTTTCCATCAATCAGATTATTGCTTCGTATTTAGTCATTAACGTAACAGAAATGAGGGTAAATAAAACAGAATCCAACGTGAAAAATATCTTTATTTCTCTTAATTTTCTATAGTGAGATCTATGATAAATGATAGACTTAAATCATTTAATGAAGTCAAGTTAGAATATAAAATGATTATGATAAATTATTATATGAACCGGAGACCGTCAAAATGCAAGTTTCTTCATTAGCAAGTACATGTGTTGATCTATCTCGAAGCCGTGCAGATTATTCGCATCGCCTTGTAACCTCATCAACAGACCTCCGAAAGATACGTAGGCTGATCTGGAAGCAAAGTGGAAAAAATTGATCAGATGTAAGTTTGCATTATCCTAGACGAATATTCCAAGTGTTGTCCGATCTCCACATTTAATATTTATAATTTACGATATATATTTCGACATTTACATAAACACAATTCATATTTGTAATGCTCTTCTTTTCTTGAACTTTTTTGCTTGAATTCTATCTTGAAGTATTAATACATGTATAAGAATTAAAACTCGCTCTGTTTAATATGGAAAGATTCTTAAATATCTTCGACTTGGATCAATAACACTAACATTCTTCTGATGCCGTTGAGTTCCAGATCACCGACGATGTCTAAAACCTGTTCAAAAAAAAAAAACCTTTCATATTCGAGATCGTCAATAATCGCTTCTCCTGATAGTTGATTTGCAACCGTCATAATAGCAGTGCCGATAGCGGTCGTGTATATAAATCAACCACACAACCAGCTAACCACACTGCCAACATGCCGATCGCTAAAGGAATTTTTCCTTCAAACGATTAGGAAAGATGTTTCTGGTGCTCCAATTACTCTGCTCTTCCAGTTCGAATAACGATGATTATTTTCTTCTCCGTGCAATCTCTCTCTTTCCTTCTTATTTTATGATACATAATATATACACAAGTACCGAAACTCAAAGCCTCACAGTAATATCATTGTATTGATATAATATATAATCATTTAAAATTGCGTTTCATTAAAATAAAATAAATTGCTAAATACACTTCTAAATTGTATCATTTTTGTGACCTAAATTCAAAATTAAAAATCAACATGACAAGGTAAAAGCGATAAATCAATTTATGAAATAACTTTAATAAAAAATAAAAATTATCTCCCAATTGTCTCCCATAATGAAATAGCAATAAACTTTTTCATTCACTTGACAGTTGATTGACTACTCACAATGACATCTTGAAAAACCAGATAATCAATACTACTCTAACTTAAAAATGTAACAAAAAAATAAAACAAAACTGCAATACCATAGATGTGACAGAATTCTTGTGTTTCGAGGTATTAGCATATATTAAATATATCCTGCTTATGCATAACGTAATCATTTTAATGACACAAAATGCACTCCGCATCTTCCGCGATGCTAATGTGCATACGTGTAATTATGAAAACGAAATTACGAAATCCAAATTTCGTGCGACTTGCAAAAGATATAAAGGGAAAATGCGAATACCGAAGGGAATACACCTGCTTACGTGTTACGAGATTTTCCTATCGATTGACCTTGCCGCCTCTGTCGAATCTCCGGCTCTAAGAAATACTCCATTTCTCTAGCAATTATTTTTAACCAAGTATTTCGAGCTTCCGCTTACGCCCTGGTTCTACTCCCCCCTCCCCGCCCCCCATCCCCACCCCTTCATTTCGCCTCACCATTCAGAAAATTTAAAAGATATCGCGTATTTCTTAATCTACATAACTCAGTAACATACGCCGTTAAAAATATATAGCAATATGTAAAATTCATTCAAAAAGTAAGAACTCTATTTATTAATATTATTCTCGAAACAACAAAAACGCAACGACCGTTTTTCTTAAGATATTTAATTTCTTTTTGTTTTTAAAGTTGCGCCGATTAGGTAAATATTTCTTTAAACTGTTCATTTTAGAACTCTACATTTTCATCCATGATAAAAGCATTTACTCTTACATCTCCAATGATATTTTTTATTAAATATTTACTTTAAGATAATTGAAAAAAATTATTTCGATAAATAATTTTACAGCTCATTGAATAAACGATTTGATTTCTTTTTATATCTATAAACTTATCAAATATGATCGATAACACATGGAAGAAAGATAAGATGAATGAAAATAGATGAAGTAAAGAAACAAGTTGTTTCTCTCGACGAAATTATAAAATTTCATTTACAAATAAGCAATTTAATTTTATATTACTGCCTAATAAATTTTTTTACATTAATTAATAACAATGTACACAAAGATAATCGGACTCGATACATTATTAAACAATCTTCAGTTGGCAGCAGTCGGGAGTAATAAATTTGTTACTGCAAACATTTCTTCTTATCTTCGTCGTTTGGATACAGGAAAAAGAGAATTTTCAAAATTGCATGATCTATTTTTACAAATTAATAACTAATAAAGGCGCTGGTGAAATTAAATGAAGAACGCATTAGATGATTTTTATTGCCATTTGATACAACAATATATGATCCTATGTATAAGCAATGTGTATGTGTATGTATATTGTGTGTGTGTGGGGGGGGGGGGTGCGCGCGCGCGCGCGCGCAGAAATTGTTACGTATACGTGAAGCCTTGTTACATGAAACGAATATGCAACAAGCACTCCTCCATTAACAAATCTCTCGTTACAAATAGTCAAACGTCATTACCTATAGAGAACCTATAGAGAACTGTCATTGCCGATGATCGCGTAAAAAAGAACATTTATCAACGTGGCATACGTGTTCATTCCTTTGGCCGCATCCTTTCCTCTGCGAGATATTATATCTCACAATAAAAAAAGAGGAAATAGGATAGAAAGCGCGACAATGACAGTTATTTTGCCGCAGAATTTATCTATTATAGTACATACACATTGAGCAACTTTCGTAACAAATATTCCATAAAATTACTTTCTACAAAATCATTAGGTAATATTTTATCATATTGATAGGAACTATAGAAACTTGTGTTACTTATTCGCCGATTATCCAAAATCTAAATTTACATAAGTATATTATTTATCGGTAGTTATTATTCTGGATAAATTTAATGTTCTTGAATATAAATTACCGATACGATTATACATTAATATACTTTTAAAAAATTTAAAATTATACTTTATCTCCAGAATAATATCCTTAATATTAGGATATTATATCGTTATAATGGTAATAATTACATTTCACAAATCAATTTTTTGTCAAGTACAACAAAAAACTGATTGAAAGTCTTGAACGATCCTCCTATGTTACAACTTATTATGGAAAAATAAAAATATTTGTACGATTCCATCTTATAACAATATCAATAATGTTCATTTTAAGAAAATATCGAGACCAAAAATAAAAGACATATCATAAAACGCTACAAATCACACAAAAATAAATGGTTTTATTAAAATCAAAATCTTAATTCTTAATAAATCTTAAATCTTAAATACTATTTTAAAACATTATTCTAATTTAAAAGCCTTCTTTCTCTGATTTAAACTTTCTTCTCTCTAGAATTTGGAATTGTTGACTAAATGACTTCCAAAAATTTTGCTTTAAAAAAAGACAGAATTTTCACAAAGATATTATATAATAGGTATACACATCACAATGTATACACGATTACAATCGAACCAACTTCGCAAATTTCGAAGTAGTCCGACGAAGGGTCCGCCGATATGTGCCCTTCCCGATATCACTCTCGCTCGCGAGAGACAGAGATATCGCGCAATCTGGTATCGATATCTGTTTTTGTACACACTTATCTATGCTATAACGCTAAAAAGATGACATCCTGTCATATGATCGGTGATGGCGGCGACAGAAGAGATGTCGTACCAGATAGTGCATTTACAGTATTCAGGGCTCGTGTAAACGCGCATCTGGCACGAGCCCAACTGCCCTGTAATCTCGTATTGGCTCACTTCCGCTCGACTCGCTCTCATACTCTTTTTACTCGTTAATCCTCGCAATCTATCTCCCTTTTGCCCTCTTATCTGCTTTCCAATTTACCCTTCCCCCGAGCATCGAGTTGCAATAAAGTTGCAAGTTGCAACGTGTCTGTTTCAAATTGAATCATGATATTAATAGCGGAGTACCTCATTAGATAGAAATGTTTAATTCGTCGCTAACCGCGCTTCATTTTGTGTGTGTGTGTGTGTGTGTGTGTGTGTGTGTGTGTGTGTGTGTGTGTGCGCGTGCGTGCGCGCGCGCGTGTTAAAAATGTAAACACTTATGTAACAACATTCAAGTCACGCGATTATCTCCGACGTGTAATTAGATCTTCACTTCATCAGCGTGATCAGAAAAAAAACTCGATATCGATGATAATTGCGATTGTCGACGAGTTTAATTGGGCGAACGGTAAAATTCTTCACGAATCTCTTCAAGATGCAACGGCAAAAACGGCGACGACGAGTCAAGGGTTTCTCGGGCGCGTCGTGTCGTCCAGAAGGATGTCAGCTGCTATTTTCCTCTCGAAACGCGAAACGAGAAGAGGACGACGCTGCTAATAATAGCAGCCACTGTCCCCGGTGCCACGACGCTTCGGCATCGGGACGCGTCTCGTCGTCGTCGTCGTCGTCGTCGTCGTCGTCGTCGTCGTCGTCGTCGTCGCGTTAGCACGATCCGTTAATGCACACAGCGTCGGTGCATCTTGATGTTTTTAGACAGTTGATCCTTTCATAGATTCGTCGTCGATGTGTCCCATTACAAGTCACCGATGTTATAACATTCGAGTAAGAAAGAAATATCTTACTTAATCTTCGCATTCTCGAGATAAAGTTATCTCGATTATCGTCGTAGATCAATCGAAAGAATATCCGCTGGTTATATTTAGCGAAAGTAAAGAGCTGGATGTGATATAAATAGTCACTGCACCGCGCAATACCTCGACACAAAATTAATATATATAAAATATTTATATGTTCCTTCTTATGCAAGTTCAACTATAGCTTCTCCGATCGATTTATGAATTTGTGATTTCAGATCTCGTTGTTTCTCAGTTGGAGTTCGAGTGAGTATTGAAAAAAGGAGAGATACTGCGATAAGCACTGTATATGCTGCTCGATTATCTATCATCGATTATTTTCTCCAATCCAATCACGTGCTTTCACAATAATGTGACGTCACATAAAATTAATTATCGCGCTATTTACATATAGGTAGTCGTTGTTTTCGCACAAATTTCCCATCAATTTGAAATTCATCGGATAATTATATTATCTTATTACACAATACGTCGTTTGAGCATGCCACGTTGAATCTACACAAATGGTCGTTATTGTAACAATTGTATT